TAATAATAATAATAATAATTAATAATTAATAATAATAATAATAATATAGGAAATACTCTAAATGCTCTGGTGATCATTTGGAAAAATCCTTTCTTAGCGAGCACCTAGAAGCCAAGAGGAATATATGTGCCAAATTTCAAGTTTGTAGGCCTTACGGTTCTGGAGATTTTGTGATGATGTGTGAGTGGTATTTTGCATATATCTATATCTAGATAGATAAGTAGATAGATAGATAGATAGATAGATAGATAGATAGATAGATAGAGAGACAGAGAGACAGAGAGACAGACAGATTATATATATATATATATGTAAGATTATTTGCTAAGTGAATGTCCATAAATCGAGGACTGTCTTTAATTTGGTGGTGTTTTCTCTTTTTCAGATGGCCGATATAGCCATAGACAGTCTCTGCCGGGGAGTTTTCGCTGGCGATTCCCGAGCGTTGAGCATCCGTTCCTGTTTCCCAGCGTTATTCCTGGCTGAGCGGAAACATGGTTCGGTTATGCTGGGCATGACCCTTGCCAAAAGTGAGTTTTTAAGGGGGTGGGTGGGGGAAAAGGTCATCCAAACCATCCTTTTAACACATCCAATTTTTTAAAGATGAAATAAAATTGCTGTATCCCGAGCTCACCTGATCTCCATTTCCCCGCCGTCTTCCGACAAGCGGCGGACAAAGCTGGATTGGCTTAATGGATCTGTGATTCACTTAACAACCAGGGATGTAACCTAGCAAAAAGAGGTTGTAAAATGGGGCGCGGCTCATTAAACAGCTCATTGCTTTGCTTAGCGACCAAGATGTCTATCTCATTACGGTCATAATTCGAGGATTAGCTGCAGGCTAACCCTATGATCGGGCAGTTTGGGTGCTGAGAGAGAAGCTGAGCACTTACCTGTTGAATTTCTGCCTGCTGGACAAGGGCACAAGCACCTCTGCCAGCAGAATGCCAACTTACCAATATTAATAATATTTAATAATTCATTGTATACATGTTTGGTACATTGAGAATAAGCATTTGATTTGATTTGATAATAAACAGATTGGAGGAGAGGAAGGTGATATATAGATACGGATGAATAGAGTTGGAAGGGACCTTGTAGGTCATCTAGTCCAACCCCCCCCCCAGCAGACACTACACCTGTGGTGGCTAAACTGTTTGGGCTCCTGTGCCAAAAATTGTGCGCGCACGCTTGACGCTCGCGCACACGTGCCAGTACCCAGAAGGCAATGTGCGCCCCCCACGTCCCCTACGCAATCCCCCCTCCGGCCCCTTACATGCACTCCGCCTCACAGCTGATTTTTGGCCCCCCCAAAGGCTGTTTTTCCGAAAATACCTGAAGTGACGAAACGGGCCTAGTTTTCGGCCTGCAAAGCCTGCAGAAGCCTGCGGTAGCCTTCCTCAAGCCTTTGGGAGGCCGAAAATCAGCTTTGAGGCGCGCGCATGCGCGGTGAGGTAAGACAATTTTTGACAGATGGTGGTCTAGACTCTTCTTGGTGGTTGTGGGGAAGGGGCGACCCCCTAACCAGGTTTGGCCAACCGGGGAAGCATTTCCAGATTCTCCTCTTTTTTCCTTCCAGAAGAAACTTCCCCAGTGGATTGCCGGCTCATCCGCCAGGCCCGGGAAGGGCACTGGAGCCAGTGGTCCCTGCGTGGCGGACTGGAGACCCTTCCCCAAAGTTTAGCTTCCTTCTCAAGAGAACGAGGGGTCAAAATCCACTGCAACGCCCTGGTGAAACGACTGGACAGAACCACCTCGGGGTCCTGGCAGGTGGGGAGAAGATGACCAAAATCTTGGGGATGTAGTGTCCCTTAGTTCCCCCCCCAGTTTTCCTCCTTCCAGTCTTCCATCCGAGAATATATCTGCTGAACATAATTCCACATTGGTGATGGGAAGGGCATCCGGCCACTAAAACTAGCTCCATTTAGTTGCCCAGACTGCACCCCGCCAGGGATTATAGGGTCTTTAAATGAAGAGGATGATTTCAAAGATCGGTATCATCATTTCTCCCAACATTGGGGTCTCCATATCATGGTGCACAGAAGCAGTGTCATTTCATTCTAGGTAGTCCTTGACTTACAACTGCTCGTTTAGTGACTTGTTACCATGACGCTGGGGGAAAAAAAGTGACTGTTTTTCACACTTACAAAACCGTTGCACTATTCCCCATCAAAATTCCGACCCTTGGCAAATGACTCATATTTATGACAATTGCCTTGTCCTGGGATCAGGTGTAGGGTCTCCTGCTCAGGCGGGTTGGGGGTTGGACTAGATGACCTACAAGGTCCCTTCCAGCATCTGATTTATCTGTATATCTGGGCGCCAGCAAGAAGGAACCTCCCTCTTTATCGATTTAAAAATAATAATAATCCCTGCATGTAAGAAGTGTAGCTTATCAGGCTCGGTGGACGGCGAGCTAGATTTCTAACTTCGGGGAATCCATCTCCTGAATAGCGAATGTTAGAGCCGACAGTGGTTTTGTTTTTCCGTAGATTGCGCTGCAGGACGGCAACATGGAGGCCGATCATGTGATCAGCGCTTTGCCCGCCAGAGGTAGGTAGAAAGGGGTGCTTCCTCACAGAGGGGTTGTCATTGCAGTTGTGAAGTGTGGACCACACACACACACCTCTCTCTCTCACACACACACACACACGCACGTTTCAGAGGTGATATTCAGCCGGTTTGGACCGGTTCCACAGAACCGGTAGCGGAAATGTTAAGTAGTTCGGAGAACCGGCCAATACCGCCTCTTGACTGGCCCCGGTCTGACTGGTCCCAGTCTGCCTCCCATTGAGTCCCAGCTGATACGGATACAGATTAACAGAGTTAGAAGGGACCTTGCAGGTCATCTAGTCCAACCCGCCCTCCCCCGCCCAGCTGTGGGGTTCTGGGTGCTCTCTGAGCTTGGTGGGTTTTCTTGCAGACGTTTCATGACCCAGCTAGGGAACATCATGAGTTTTAGAAGGGGGAAGGAGGAGGAGAATTGTGGGGCTCCTAGGTGCTCTCTGAGCCAGCTGGTTTTCTCGCAGATGTTTCATGGCCCAATTAGGTAACGTCATCAGTGCTAAAAGGAAGTAGGGTTTGCAGAGAGCAGCAGGAGGAGAACTGATACGGATGCAGATTTAACAGTTAAAAGGGACTTTGCAGGTCATCTAGTCCAACCCCCCCGCCCAGCTGTGGGGTTCTGGGTGCTCTCTGAGCTTACTAGTTTTCTCGCAGACGTTTCACGGCCCAACTAGGTAATGTCATCAGTGCTAATAGAAGGGAGTGGGGCTTGTGGAGAGGAAGAGGAGAACAGAGCTGGAAAGCAGGTTACTGGGGTGGGGAGGGAACGGGGATTTTGCCATATCCTTCCCCTGCCACACCCACCAAGCCATGTCCACAGAACCGGTAGTAAATTTTTTTGAATCCCACTACTGATCTGTTTGCAGGAAATTGCAACCTAAGACGAAGCCACGTTAACGTGGTTGATTGCTTTGGTGCAGCCTTGAGGACTAGCAAATTTGCAAGGGCTAATCTGAAAAAAATAAAAAATCTGATATTTCTTCTCCTCCTTTCCTCCCAGTTCTGGCTGACTTGCTCCCTGCCAGATTTGAACCCCTTATCCAAGATCTGCTAGCCATCCAAGCGGTTTCTGTGGCGGTGGTGAATCTGCAATACGAAAACGCACAACTTCCTGTGACGGTAGCATTTATTCTGGCTAATAACGTGATTCCAAAGAAAGGAAAAACCTAAATCCCACCCAAACCAAGCCCACAACCGGCAGGGGACAACCTTGGGGAAATATGCTTAACAACCTTGGGGATTTACTTAAGGGTCCTAAAAACAGGCACTGGCTCATTGAATGACCATCTTGCTTAGCGACGGGCATTCCGGTCCCGGTGGCCAAGGACTTACCCGTATTACTTTTGGGACCTTTTGAGCAAGGCTTCCAAAAAAGTGATTTATTTTTTTTAAACAAAAAGGTTTCATTTCTTAAAAAAAAAATTTTTTTTCCCCAGGGATTTGGCCATTTGGTGCCATCGTTCGAGGATCGCCCGCTGTTGGGCATCGTTTACGACTCGGTGGCATTTCCCGAACAGAACGGTCACCAAGGCTCTGCCACTCGACTGACGGTACGAAGTGTGGGGATTGTGGACTTTTCATCTTTTGCACCTTCTTGTCGGATTTTCGATGCGTAACACAAGTGCTTTTAAATGTGGAGCATGGTCGAAAAGGGGAGGCGTTGAGGTGACCTCATTAATAGTGGAATTGGAGCTAATTTACTTTTCGCTATAGTGTTGTTTCTCAACTCACCTTAAGAGGGGTGGACTTCAACTCCCAGAATTCCCCAGCCAGCCTGCTTTAAGAGATGATTTCAACTCCCAGAATCCCCCAGCCAGCATACATTAAGATGGGTGGACTTCCACTCCCAGAATCCCCCAGCCAGCATGCTTTAAGATGGACTTCAACTCCCAGAATCCCCCAGCCAGCATGCTTTAAGATGCGTAGACTTCAACTCCCAGAATCCCCCAG